GCGATCATTTACAACATGCATAGAAGTGACCAAAGTGGTGTGCGGAACTCCCATATACCCTGTACGCAGATCCACCTCATTTTAAGTTTGTCATATTTACTCCATCCTTTTCTCTCACACACATATTATTTATTTTTCTTCTGAATCATTTGAGAGAGCACGTTACCTGCATCATACTTCTCTCCTCCTTAATAGTACTTCAGGATGTATTTCTTTTTTCTTTCTTTCTTTTTTTTTTTTGAGATGGAGTCTCGCTCTGTCACCCAGGCTGGAGTGCAATGGTGCGATCTTGGCTCACTGCAACCTCTGCCTCCCGGGTTCGAGCAATTCTGCCTCAGCCTCCCGAGTAGCTGGGATTATAGGCGCCCACCACCACAGAGTTTCACCATGTTGGCCAGGCTGGTCTCGAACTCCTGATCTCAGGTGATCTGCCCGCCTCGGCCTCCCAGAGTGCTGGGATTACAAGTTAAGCCACCATGCCCGGCCTAGGATGTATTTCTTAGCACAAGGATATCCTCTGACACAATCAGGGTGCCGTTAGCAAATACAGAAAATTTAAGTTTCATGCAATACCTTAATCTATTGTTCATATCTCAATTTTGTGTGACCATGTCTCAAAAAAAAATTGTCAACTCTACCAAGAAGGTCCCCTGTCACATTTTCCCCTCTGCAGTACAGGATCCAGTTCAAAGTCATGCATTGCATTTACCTGTTCAGGTCTAGACTTGATATCACAACTACACAAGGTAAAATATACAGTCATAAGAGACACAGATGGAGTTGAACAAAGACATCCATCTTCATATGCACATCCCCATGAACCAATGTTTCTAATAACACATCATGCTCCTGACTGTGTGGAGGTAGTTAAAAGTTAACTTGCCAGGCCAGGAACAGTGGCTCACACCTGTAATCCCAGCACTTTGGGAGGCTGAGGCTGGAGGATTGCTTGAGCCCAGGAATTTGAGACCAGCCTGGGCAACATGGTGAAACCCCCCCAAAATAAAAAATTAGCTGGGCATGGTGGTGCACACCTGTAGTCCCAGGTACTCAGGAGGCTGAGGTGCTAGGATTACCTGACCCCAGGAGCTGGAGGCTGCAGTGAGCCGTGATTGTGCCACCTGCACTCCAGCCTGGGTGACAGGGTGTGACCATGTCTCAAAAAAAAAAGTTAACTTACCAAATATGCCATAGTCTTCAGCACTCTGTTTTGTAGTGCTTTATTTTTTAACCTAATAAAAGCCTCATAAAATGGAAGTGGCCTGGGACAATGAGGGGAACCTGAAGTGCTGTGGGTGCCCAGGGCTGGCCCCTGTGTTCTCAGCCCTGCTCAGCTCCAGATGCTGTGCAACTGTGGCCCATCACCACTCTTCTCTGAGCTTCAGGTTGCCATGGGTGACCTCTGAGGCCTTCCTGCCCATAATTGTGGAGTCAGAGAAGACAGCCCTGCCTGGCAAGGAGGGAGATTTGGGTCCTTGTTGTCTCAGCGGGGCCAAGGACCTGCTGGGGAACCACAGGCAGGTTGCCTTCTGTCTTGTCTCACTTTCTTCATTGTGAAATGATGAACTCTGAGATTATTATCGTGCTGATGCTTCATGTGTCAGGACTTGGGGGGAGAGTGTATCCCTTTGGGGTCCAAGGTGGCCTGGCTGAGTTGGTCATTCCAACCCCTTCAGTCTTGGATTTCTTCTCCCTGAGCAGCTTGACTCCTCTGGCTCCAAGTTGGCCTGGAGAAGCTTGGCTGACCTGGACCATCCTGGAGGTGATGGGCATACTGGGGGAGTGGACAATGCTAAAAAATGTTCCCCAGAGGAGGTGCCTATATATGCAGACCACACCTGTGCTTCTCCCCGGTCATGTGTGTGGGCTGACCTTGCAGCTCACAAAGGCTCATGGGCATTAACTGTCCATTACCAGGAAGATAGCAAGCTGCAAAATATGCATAATGGAGCACCATGCAGCTACAAAAAGGTATGCAACAGCTCTGTGAGCAACTGGGGTCTCCAAGAAGTATGGTTAAGAAAAAAAAAAAATCCAAGTGCAGAGAGGAGTGTGCAAAATGCTACCACTTGTATGGAAAAATCTATGTAACTTGCCTATATATGCAGACCATCTCTGCAGGAATCCATAGGATCCTGGTTACCTGAACATAGTAATCGCCTCTGAGGACTGGAGCTGGGTGGCTGAGAGAGAATACTTATTGTCAGTTTATTCTTTTTTGTGTCTCTACAAGGGAAAGAACCAGTATGGGTAGACGTGCAAGAGGGGCTGGCTCCTGGGAAGCTGCTAATTGCATTTCTTGATATCCATGCTGGGTATACAGGTGTGCTCAGCTTGTGAAAACCCATTGATTTCAAGTACACCCTGTGCACTTTCCTGAATGTGTCTTATACTTCCATAAAAAGTGTAAACTTGGCTGGGCGCAGTAATTTATGCCTGTAATCCCAGCACTCTGGGAGGCTGAGACGGATGGATCACCTGAGGTCAGGAGTTCGAGAGCAGCCTGGCCAATATGGTGAAACCCCGTCTTTACTAAAAATACAAAACTTAGCCAGGCGTGGTGGTGCACATCTGTACTCCCAGCTACTTGGGAGGCTGAGGCAGGAGAATCGCTTGAACCCGGGAGGTGGAGGTTGCAGTGAGCCGAGACCATGCCACTGCACTCCAGCCTGGGTGATAGGGTGAGATCCGTCTTAAAAAAAAAGTGTAAACTTAGAATGGTTTAAATGATTGTGTTGTGTATATGTGCGTGTTTAACGAAAATGCTGCAGAGCTGGGTGCAGTGGCTCACGCCTATAATCCCAGCACTTTGGGAGGCTGAGGCAGATCGCTTGAGCCCAGGAGCTGGAGACCAGCCTGCGCAACATAGTAAGAACCTGTCTCTACAAAATAAACAAATAAATAAAATTAGCCAGGCCTGGTGGCGTATGCCTGTATTTCCAGCTACTCCACAGGCTGAGGTGGAGGATCACTTGAGGACAGGTTAAGGCTGCAGCGAGCTATGATCGTGCCACTGCACTCCAGCCTGGGTGACAGAGTGAGACCCTGTCTCAAACAAAACAAAACTTGGTGGGATTATAGTCTTCACTGTGGTTGTCTTTGGGATGAGTGATATTTCTAGAGTCTTGTAGCAATTTGCATTTATTTTACAATGAAAAACACAGGCAGAGAAACCTATAAATTTTTTTTTTCAGAAACAGTAATCAGTATAGAAGCTTTCTGGAAGGACACTCAGGAAGCTGCCTCTGGGGAGGGGCCTGAGGGAGGTCTGTACTTTTCACTGCATACCATTTGACACAACTTGGATTACTTACCAATGCAAACAGGGTATAGTAAAAATTATCTCACAAAGCAAAACAAATACTTATCTTTCTGTTCTAGCTGCTCTTACTAGTTAGAGATTGAGCCAGGGAGGCCCAGAGGGGTCAAGCAACATCTCTGGGGTCACCCAGCAAATCTGGTGGCGGAGTGGGCCTCTAGCCAGAGCACCCAAGTGTCTGCTCTGCCCCCACTCCCAGGTTTCCTGCCATTGACAAGGCCACAGTCCTTTTCCTGTGGCTTTGCCAGAGGCTGGCTATACCTGGCCGGGGTAGGCGCAGGGAGAGCAATGTGCTTTCCTAATCAGTTCCCGAAGGGGGAAGCACAGCCGCGCTGGGACACAGGATAACCACGCCAGTGTCCCTGGAACAGCAGGGAAGTGAGGTAGACGGTGCTTGGAAAGCTCTCCTGGGTGGGGGGACCCTGGCCCCCTGGGGCCCTCTTTCCTCTAATTCTCACACCAAAGGGGTTAAGCGTGGTGGTTTCATGGCCTGCTCCAGCCTAGGGACTGGCAATTCCACAACTCCCTTGATCTCCCCGGGCCTCGGTTTTCATCTGTGAGGAAGACCAGGTTGGTCGGGCTCATTCCTGTGGTGTCTGGCACAATGCCTGGCACACAGAGGGTATTGGCAATCTGTTTGTCAATTTGCAAAATGGGAGCCACAATTCAGGCTCAGAGGGTCAAATGTAGGGGAGTGGGTAGAGGCAGAACAGAGGGGATAGGAATATGGACTCTCGGGCCAGACTTCAGTCAGTAAACATGAAATGGATCACTTGAGCTCAGGAGTTTGAGACCAGCCTGGGCAACATAGTGAGACCTTGTCTTTAAAAAAATAAATTAAAAATAAAAGTGTTGTTAAATAAATAAACTGTTGAGATAGGCATATGAATGCACCTTACTGAGGAGAGGGTGGCTGCCTGGCTGCCCTGGCCTTTCCCTGGCTCTCTCACCCTCAGGCCTCTCAAGCTTCTCTGATCCTCGCCTCACAGGGACACAGCCCCAGCCTGAGAGAGTGAAGAACTCCTAGCTGCACTGATCAGCTGTACCCATCGCTGTCTCTGCTGGGTCTACAATGGGGAAGACACCAGCCTTCACCTCCCAGGGCTCCTGGGAGTGTAATGGGGGTAATAGGTGCTGGTTTTCCACCTGGGGCATCTCCAGGGCAGGGAAGGAGCTGCTCTAGGCTTCAAAGGTGGACGGACTCAGGGTGTCACCCTGCCATGTGCTTCTGGGTGTCATTGGTCTTCTAAGTCATTTCAGATAACACAGCGGTAGGAATATTCCCCTTTAGCATGCACTCATTTGCACCTGTGGAAAACCACATGCCTTGTTGGTGATAGCATCAAAGAGGGATTGAAGGACGGCACGTTCACAAAATGGAATAATAAGCAGCTCAGAAAGAAATGAAATACCCTTTAGGTACTGACTTGGGATGACACCAAGCTAGATTAAGGAAAAAAAGGAGCTGAAAGTGTGTACGATGTGCTGTCATTTGTGTATTTGCCTGATCATTCATAGCGAATGGGACATCACAGGAAACTGGTGCCCTAGGCTGCTTGCAGAGAGGAAAGCTGGTGGCCGGAGGACAGGGGCAGGGAGACTTTTCAACACATATCCTCTGGTACCTTCCGAATTTTGAACCATGTGAATGAAATGAACGCAGTCCTTATTCAAAAATAAATAAAATTAAGATTTCTTTACCAACCATACCAGACACCTAACAGTTGTTAAGAACATCTGATAAATAGCAGACTGAGGAAGGTTTGGTTATGGCTCCCGGAGAGGGGGCTCTGCCTGTCTTCCCCAGCCCCACCCCTCCAGGGCTCAGGGCAGCCCCTGGAACATCTGTGCCGCTCTCTCTAAGTCCAGGGGAGGGCCCACCTCTGACCTCCGATGTCCACAGGCCCCCTCCTCAGCTCAGAATGACGTCTTTTATTTAAAAATAGGTTTTATTTTAAACTCACCAATTCTCTCTCTCACACACACTCACACTCACGCACAGACACACACATACACCCTCTGTCACCAACAGTCTGTGTTTTTCCAAAAGTTCTGCCTTGTCTCTGACCAGCCAGAGCTGCGCAGGCTGAATGGACCCTCACAGTTCTCCAGGATCGGGTGGAGATGCCCCGAGGGCCCTGCCCAGAGTGTCCTGGACCCAGGCCATGGTCCCCTGGTCCCCACACAAAGAAGGGGTGGGCTCGGCGCCTGGGGTCTTCTTCCCTGTACAGCCAGTGGCTGGCTCCCGGCCTCCTTCTCCAGGGTCCAGGCTCATCTCCGCGGCCCTCGAAGGGGGGCCACCCCCCTCACCTTCAAGCAGCTGCCCCCCAGTTCACGACGGCCACCCTGCAGAGGGGGAGAAAGAGTATAAGGAGGTTCGATCAGGCCAGTGTGAACACTAACCTCTGTATCCACCAACAGGGATCCTGATAAATAAATCACAGTTCAGCCACACGATCAAGTTCTCTGCAGCAGAAAGCAGAAGAAACCTTTTCTGGACTGATACGGACTGCTGCCGAATGACAATGTTATGACAATGTTTAAGGACAAAAGCAAGGAGCAGGCTGAATGCGCCTGTGTGCTGTGATTGCTGGAGAGAAGTGCACGTGGGAAATTGCGAGTGGGTTTCTTCAGAGAGGAATTTGATGATGGAGAGAGGATGAGAGGGAGGCTCTCTCATGCTATACTTTTTTTTGAGACAGAGTCTTGCTGTGGCCAGGCTGGAGTGTAATGGCACAATCTCAGCTCACTGCAACCTCCGTCTCCTGGGTTCAAGGGATTCTTCTGCCTCATCCTCCCAAGTAGCTGGGACTACAGGCAACCACCACCACGCTTGGCTAATTTTTGTAGTCACGCTATACTTTTTTACCATTTCCATTTCTTTCCCATATGATCTGTTGCTTAAAAAAAAAAAAAAAGATCCAATACATTTTAAAGCATAGTATTTTACATGGGCAAAACCAGCACACCCCGCAGTGGTCTTCCCCCTGCCTGACTGCATGCCTAGTGGCTCACTCTTCCACCTTCAAAAGGGGACTGGATTTCTGGCCTCCTTGACTTCCTTCAGGGCGTCCCCTTTGCCAGCAATGTGCTCTCAGGTCTTGTCTCCCTGGAAAGGTTTCTCCGTTCCTAAATTGCCTAGCACTTCCTGTCTTTCTGGGGACATTCCATGGGGATGAATCTCAGAAGGACAAGTCAGGGTCTCTCCTTTGTCCCACCTTCTGGACTGGGATCTCAGGGAATGGTAGGGAAAAGGAGTTCTTCACTCTGTGGTCCCATTTCCAGCCTGGGCTCTCTTGGCCCAGGACCTGACTTGGAGCAGGCACCAATCAATGCCGACTGAATTAAGTGGCAGCCATTGGAAGATGGGCTAATGGTGGCAGTCCCTGAAATCATCAGTCCCTACAGGGCTGTCTCTACCAGCTCTTCTCATTGATATTTTCAGACTGGACGCATGTGTTTCACCCTCACCATAAGCCAAAGAGGTCACAGATGTTAGAGCACCCCCTCTTTTGCGGCCTCCAGCCACTGAGTGACTGGCCCAGAGGCACCCAGCCAGTTGTAAAAGAGCTGGGCTAGAAATCTATGTTGTCCAACAATCTGTCCTGTTTCCAGGACACGATAGTGTCTGAAATCCCACTGTAAATGCTCATCGCCCTGAGCCTGGCTAGATGATGATGGAACAGGCAGCTTTCTCAGCCCACTTAGAGAAACAGCTGACCATCTGGGAGCTCTGCCCCCTGCCCCCTCCACCCCCAGGTCCAGGTTGGGGCAGATCCATCCAGATGCAAGCCCAGCCTCCCTCGAGGCTCTTGCAGCCCAGGGACAACATGTTCACTCACAGGCAGGGCTATTTTGAGGGCTGAGGCCACAGTCCCAGCAGAGCCTGGGGCTTGGGCTTCTCAGACAAACTCTGGCAGGAGTGGCTGAAAAGGGCAGATAGGGGAGGGGGTGCAATATTAAGGTTGAATTAGAAAACTGGCCTTCCCCTCTTTCACTCTTTAAGTCCTCAGGGACAGGGAGAGCTGCCCCCTTCCACCCCAAGTCTAGAGGTCATGTGGAGACCTGGGGTCCCAGAAGAATGCTGGGACTGTTCACCTCCCTGAACCTCGGTTTCTTCATCTACGAAATGGGGACAAAATGATTTTACTTGCCATCTCAAGGTGCAGTCGAATGTGAATGCAGCTGTGTAAGCTGCTAAGTGTGCTTAGAAGAGGTCCTGACAGCCGGGTATGGTGGCTCATGCCTGTAATCCCAGCACTTTTGGGAGGCCGAGGCAGGCAGATCACGTGAGGCCAGGAGTTCGAGACCAGCCTGGCCAAACATGGCGAAACCCCGTCTCTACTAAAAATACAAAAAATTAGCCAGGTGTGGTGGCCGGCACCTGTAATCCCAGCTACTTGGGAGGCTGGGGCAGGAGAACTGCTTGAACCCAGGAGGCAAAGGCTGTAGTGAGCTGAGATCATGTCATTGTACTCCAGCCTGGGTGACAGAGCGAGACTCCGTCTCAAAAAAAAAAAAAAAAAAGAGGTCCTCACAAGACCCCAGTTTGTTTGTCCCTTAGGAACTTAGCACCAAGGGTCTTCAGGAAGCACCATGGTTAGGAGTTAGGTTTAAGTGAGACAGACCTAGGCTTCGATCCCTACTTTGCCAAGGGCCAACTACTGCACCTCAGGCAAGTGATTTCATCGCACTGAGCCTCAGTTTCCCCCCCCCCGTAAAGGGGAGTTACTTTATAGGATCACACAAGCTAACATAGGATTACACAGGCTAATCTAGGTAAAGCCTTGGTACAGTGTTGGGAATATAGTAAATGTTCATAAGTATTACTATCAGCATCATCTACTGAGAGTGCCTCCTGGTCCCAGCTACCCTCTGGGTATACCAACAGGGGAGAGAGAGCCTTACAAGATGATCCTGTCCGATCCCCACCCCCAGGTGACAAAGGGAAAACAGGGCAGAGACAAGAACCCCCATTCCACCTCCCACTTGCTAATTCTACCACAGAGGGCCACACCTAACCCGTCCTTCAACAGAAAGATGCTACACGGAACTGTTTCCATGGCAACCCCAACTCCAGACTGGCCAGGATGGGAGGGAGGTGGTGGCTCAGGGTAAAGGAACAGGGTGTTGGGTCTTAAAGCTCTCTGCCCCCCCACAAAGCTCAGAAGGGAACAAGAGCTCCCCAAGACAGCCAGTTTTCTTCCAGCAGAGTCTTCAAGGGGCCATAGCTGGCCAGGATCGCCCCTCTCGCCTATTCCCAGAGGAGACTGTGGGGTTAAGAGCATTGTTTCTACAGCCAAATTTGGCTGGGTTCTTGGTCCCATAGGCAGATCCCAGGGAAGCAGCCAGGCCCAGGGGAGGCCCCTGTGAGCTGTGAGACAGGCCTGAGACCTGCAGAGAAGTCCCCCAGCCTGCCTGCTGTGGGGGTGGACACATGACAGTTACAGGGACTTACCCCTGTAACCTATCCCACGTCTCAACCAGGCAGGCCTGAGTTTGAATCCTGGTTCCATCACTGACTGTGTGTCTCTGCGCCACTGGCAGCTCCTCTAAGCAAGTGGGGATAACCGTAGCGCCTCATTCCTGGCTGTTGTGGGATTTTAATGATAACTCATGAAGAGTGCTTAGCACAGATCAGTGCTCATGAAGGCTGCTGTCACTGCTGTTATTGGCCATTATGCTCCCCCTCTGCACTCCCGCCACTTTTAGCCTCTTCCCTCTTCCTTCTCTAGGCCTCAGCTCTTGCTGTATGCCCCAATCCTAGAACACCCTTTCCATCGGCCTGTCCCTGTTCTAAAGCATCCTTCAGAAATGCGACACAGAAACCCTGTCAGCACTCACCCTGGGTTGGGGGCTTCCTCTGGGCTCTGAGAATCCCTTTGTGCTTCCCCTACCCCATCATCAGACCACAGCATCCTCATCTTCATCTCCCTGCCCTGACCCTGGGGCTGCACTGTCAGGTCCTGACTGGTGGATGGGTAGGGACCTATAACCTGCTTCTCTGGGGTTCTCAGAGCCAACAGCAGGCAGCTGTCGGGTAGCTAAGGGTTGCCAACTGGAATGAATGGGTGAAAGGCAGTCAGGGAGTATCCCTGAGGGCCCCTTCAGGTCTTCCCATCTCAGGAAGCCTTAAAGGCCCACTCCTGGCTTCTCAGCCCAGCCTGGGGCACTGACAGGGGCCCACAGCTGGGAGCCGTAGGGACCATGGAGAGGGTACAAGCCTGAGGCTAAGAAGACGGATTCAGGGCAACTGAGGCAGCCAAGTGTTGAGAAAGCAGGCTGGATGTCTGATGGGCCAGACAGAGGGTGGTCTCAGGCCAAGATGCAGAGGCCTCCGCAGAACAGGGTGGAGCAAGGGACCAAGGGGAGCTGTGAGAACCAAACAGCAGGGAGTCAGGGGCCTAACTCCAATTCCCCATGCCCTTCCACTTGGCCACCAAAAGTCAGTACTCTCTCATGCTCAGTTTCCCCGGATGCAAATGGTAGCTGCTGGAATACAAGTTGTTAGACAGGCTTCTTTACTGTAGGAAAAACCCAGGCCAGAAAGGCACAGGGTCTGGGGATGAAGCAGGTTCCTTGGGGCCTGGGCAAGGTTTCAGCCAAGAGGCCACCTCTGCTGCCACACAGCCCCCGCCCACCCCTACTAGCCTGGTCCACTTCCTTGCCCAGGACACATTGCAGGAGCTGCACACCAGCTCCCTCCAGCTGAGCCAAGAGTGCCCTCTCCCAACACCACGTCCTTTTGGGGGTTGGGGGCTCTCAGGGGGCCCCTTCTTCATTCCTACTGCTCATCCGCTGGGAACCTCAGGCTCTCGGTTGGGGGTTTGTGGCCTCCTTTCTTCTCAGTCTCCTGCTCTTGGGTTAGATCTCAGGACAGGGGACAATTACTTCAAGGTGGGGGCAACACACACCGGGCAAACCTAGGGCGAGCACCCCGGCTTCCTGGCTGAGTAAATGTGGGCAGGTGATTCCATCTCTGATGCTCAGATCCTCACGAGGATAAAATGGGCAGAAAAACTACCTGCCTGAAGGGATTCTTGTGAAGGCAAAAAAGTGGATGTGGAGCGCATCAGCACAGAGGAAGACTCAATAAAAGATGGACTTTGTTATTCCGTCCTCATGCCGTCTTCCCAGCAGGAAGGAAGTACCAGCACACCTTTCGTTGGAGGGGATATCCCACACTGAGCAGTTAAATCAGACCCGAACTCTGGGTTTTCCTGCATCCTTTCTGTTTGGGGGACAGGACATTAAGTCAGTGGTTCTGTTCCACACCAGACCCTGGGCTTGGGGAGCCACACCCAGCACAATTCCACGTCGCTTCCCCCTGGCCTCGTTGGGGCCCCTTCCCGGAGAGGCAACGTCCCCCGCCTACCCTGACCCAGTGGCCGCAGTGAGGGACGCAGCACACTCACCCCCTTGCGCTGGTTGCTGAGGCAGAATGTGCAGATGGAGCGCGGCTGGCGGCCGCC